GGGCGAGGGGGGGGGGGCGCGGCGGGCGGGCGCGTCACAGGGGGCGGCGCCGGGGGCGCGGCCGCTGTCCGCCGGGCGCGCCGCGTCGGCCGATGCGCGTTCACCGTGCCGGGGTGGCGTCCGGCCTGAGCAGCCGCAGCAGCGCGGGCGCCGCGCCCTCCACTTGCAGGAGCAGCCGGACGGGCCCCTCCCCGCCGCCCGCCACCGCCGCGAGGGCCGCGGCCGCGTCGCGCGCGGTGGCGATGTTGGCGCTGCCGAGGCAGGCGGCGACGCGCCCCAGCAGCCCGTCTGCGGACGCGAGCTGCATCGGCCGCGGGCCCGCGGCTGCGCCGCCTGGGCGGGGCGCGCGCGCGTGCGGGGCCGGCGGCGCGAGTGGGTTGAGGGGTGGGCGCTCGGTCGGGTCCGGGTGAGAAGCAAGGGGTCTCCATGGAAGCCAGGCAGGCAGCAGGATCGCCAAGGGTGCTCTCAGGCAGCCCGGCCGCGACGCCTATTGGTCTCCTGTGATTAGATGTGCATTCAATGCTTGCGGGGCCTCTCCAGGGGTCGAGCCACGCTCGTCTTTCGCCGAGCTGCGCCCTAATTTTTAGGGCGCCGCGCTGCACCGGGGCGCGCTGCGAGGCCCCGCCGCCGGCTCACCTTCGGCGAGCACGCGCACTGCCTGCAACGCCGCCTGCACAGTCCCCGCGTCCGCCACGCGCAGGCAGGCCGCCAGCTGCTGCAGCGCGGCGCCCGGCACGGCCGCCGCGGCGCGCGGGCCTTGGGGCGCCGCCCTCGCCGCGTCCCGGTCGCGCTCGGCTGCGGCCGCCAGCGCGGCCAGCGTGGGGGCGGCGCGGGCGAGGGCGTCCGCGTGCGCGCCCCTTGGCCTCTGCTTCAGTGTCTGCATGAGGGTGATGACGGCCTGGCCGAGCGCCAGCGGCGCCGCGCCCGCGGCTGCTGCTGGTGGCGCCGGCCTCGGTGCCATCGCCGGGCGGGCGGACGCGCTGTGGCGCGCGTATGTACCAGATTGTGATACTCTATAGTATTATGATCAAGCACACCTACGGTATGCAGACTGTGTTGCACGGCAGTTGCCCGATATCGGCCACAACGAAGAAAAACCGGATCATGCACCCGTGTAGGTTAGCAAAATCGTGCTCTGAATCTTACGCATCACGCGTACGCAGCCAGGTCTGATGGAAGCCTAGCTTCAGCGGCGGTGCATATGCCGGCACTCCAGCAAGCGCCAGCGGTGATGGTCCGTTACGTATTGCATAGTAATGTTCAGGCATGCACCTGGCGTAATAGTATGGCCCTCCCTGATATGTTAAACATGCAGACAGGGCATGATCACGATGTCACGGGCAGCGACTCAGCATGCGGCGTGTTGGTTTTGAGCATGCGTGCTTGCGATGAGCATCCAGGTGTGAGAGCACGGCGCCAGGCCGGATCTGTACGACCTAAAAATTGCAAAAGTGGACACAAGGGTGAGACTTCCTCTTCACTGCTGGAGGGCCATGCCCAAGTCAAGGGCCGCCCAGTTGTGCGCCCCACCCCCAGCACCATCCCACAGCCCCGCCGGTCCACACACGCACGCTCGCGGGCGCCTCAAACCCACCAGGCAAGTGACCAGGAGCGGCTGGGGCGCCAGCAGGAGCGGAGCTGTGCAGGGGACGCGCGGGCGCACAGTCAACACAACTCCCCTGAAATCCCCTGCACGGGAACATCTACATCGTATGTGCTATAGATCATGGTGCGGATGTCTCTGCCATTGCGCTGTGAGTTATCCACAGGGATCAAGAAAGACACAAACCGGACACCAATCCGGCCGCCACCTCGCTGACACACTCGAGTGACACAGGTGGTGACGCAGCCCATCGCTGCGTGAAGACTCCAGCGCACCCTCAGATCTGCTTCAATTGTATACTTTTTTGTTTGGATTGATTACGACTGGTTCCGCCCATCATTTGCTTGCATTCAAAGAGATGGCCTTTCTCAACCACTGCGTGCCGGAATGGGCCCAGGACCCCTCGTCTATCAAATATGATTCATTATGGATGTAGACATACTTTCGCTCTGGGGCTCAGTGGCCTCCGCCACAGATCTTGATGACCTGATCTCCTCGTGGAGGTCCTTCACGGAACAGGTGACCGACGACACGCTCAAGGATGAAGCCCCGCTCATCGCCGAGACGGTGCTGGTGGGGCGACCGCAGGGCATCGTCGACGTGCTGGAGGCGTCCTTCCGTGCCGACGGTGCGCCCGGCGGGTGCCCTGCTGCCGGGCCCCCCGGCCTCGCGGCTGCGGGGCGCGTGCTTTTTGCCTTGTTAGCCTATTCCAATGTCCAGGATTCTATTCTTCTGGCCCGCGCTCCCAGAGCCCACTGCAGCAAGCGCGCTCCGCGCTGTCGCAACCACGCCGCGCCCGAGCATGACGTCACGCCTCGGGGCTCGGCAGCCGCGGCACTCCCCCCCTGGAGTGGCCCCTGCTCGCCGAGCGCCTGGCCAGGGCCTCTGTCCGCGCCTCCCACCGGCCCCGTATGCACCCTATGCTGAAAGCCACAGATCACAGGACCCTTTCCCCAAGCACAGCTTGACTAGACCGCTTTGCCCTCGGCCATCATTCTCAACCACCCTCAACCCCCACATCCTCTAAACCCAACGGAACCCAACGGCTCTCCACCTCCCTCCTCGCCCCCACCGCGGCCCCCAACCACCAACCCTTGGCCCCTTTCGATACGACCCAACCCTTCGCATCACCCCAAACAGTCAAGCGGGGCGGCGACGCGCGCTCGAAGCTCCTCGACTTTTTGCAGCAGCTGCTGCGCACCCTTGGGGAGGAGCGCCTCGCGCCCGGGGCGCCCGCGGCCGCCGCGGCGCGCGCCGCCGAGAAGTGCGCCCAGTTTGGGTGGCACGAGGTCGCCGCCAAGGCCAGGTGCGCGGGGCGCTCCCGGGGGGGACAATGTGTGTATGTTATGAGAGGAGTGGGTGCACGTGCGTGTCCATCCAGGGTGTTGGCTGCCCGCCCCACTCTGCGTCACACCCAACCTGACGGCCCCAGCCTCTGGGGCTTGCCCCTGCTTTACATGCAACCCTGCGCCCCTGCAGACGCGAATCAGAGAGCTCCTACACGTCCTGGTTTGCCATTCAGAACCCCCCCTGCGCCGCCAAAACCCCAAATACTCGCGCAGGGTGTCTGCCCTGGGCGTCGCCTCGCTGCTGCTTGAGTGGCAGCTGGGCGGGAAGCTTCCGCCCGGCTGCCCGCCCTTCGTGCCGGACCCCCTGGCGAAGGCCCAGGAATCGAGGTGAGGCTGACGTGGTGCCGGGAGTACACCACCTTTCATTCACACCATTGATTTTTTTTGCCAACCGCCCCCAACCGCCCCCAAACATGCCCCTTCACCCCCGCCCTCAAAACGGCTCTCAACCGCCCTCAACCGCTCTCATCTCATTTGCTCCCAATCAACCCCAATTGACCGCAACCGCTCCCAACCGCCTGCAACGGCGCCCCTCACCCCCCAAGGTCCCTCTACCTGAAGGATCGTGACATAAGGGGCAAGACCCCCAAGAACACGGTGCGCAACGCCCTGCTCAGGTACTTTGCGCTGCTGCTCAGGCTCGCCTTCAAGGCCGGCCGCGACGCGGGGACCGCGGCGGCGGCGCTGGGTGGTGGCGGCGAGGGACATGCCGCGGCGCAGGGGCGACAGCAGGGGGAGCAGGCGTCTGTGGAGGGGCTCGCCCTGTGGCTGAGGGACGAGTGCTGCAGGGTGCTGGGGATAGGCGGCGGCGGGTCCGACGGCGCGGCGGGCGGCGCGGCGGCGGCGCCGGGCGGGGGGTCTGAGGTGGAGGGTGCTCTGGAGGGCCTCACTGCGGCGCTGCTGCTGCTGCCGGTGGGAGGCGGGGTG